CAGGTGCGCGCCATCTGGGACCAGAGGCGGGCCAACCTCCGCTGGCAGAGGCCCCCGTACGTGCCCCTCGGCAGCCCCGCGACCTTCGCGCACGTGGACCTCTCCAACCTGGGCGAGAGGGACGTGGTCTACACTGGCGTGGGCGACATCCCAGACATGTTCTATCGTTTGGAGACGCCGCCCGATGTCTGGCCCTACTTTGTCTTGGAGGAGGTGCCAGTCCACGAGTTCGTCGAGTACATGAGGACAAAAGGGCGGGACTGCGTCACCCTCGATGGCGGGCCCTTCCTGGCGCTGAAGGCCCTGGTCATGGGCTGGTCGTGGGCCCCGTTCTTGGCCCACTCTACGTTGCAGGCCTGCATGGCGCGCGGGCTCGGGGAGGACTCCGTCGGGGCTCGCCTGGTCTACGGGGCTCCGACGCCTCAACTGACCGGGCCCGAGGGGCTCGAGTCGGTGAACTGGGCATACATGGACGACTACGGAGTCATGGCCACGTCCGCCAGCGTGCAGCAGCCAGTGAGCGAGGTCGTGAGCGGACTGACGGCCCGAGTCAAGCACTACTTGAGGCAGGTCGGGCTCCCCGTCCACAAGGAGTCCGAGGGCGAGGGGCTCGAGTCGCTGGGGGCGGTCGTCCGAGGCCGACCCTACTCTCCGTCTCAGCAGAGACCGACCGCACCTGCGGCCTGGCTCTGGTGACGCTGCGGCTGGTAGAGCGGACGTACTGGACCGCGGAGCTCCTCGAGCGTGTCGTGGGGTTGTGGGCGTGGGCGGCCATCTTCCAGCGCACGGGCCTTGCCATCTTCGACCAGGTGTACCACGAGATGAGGCGCCCCGAGACCGCCAAGACGCCGTTCCGACTGACGGACGCGGCGAGGTGGGAGCTGACTACGATGGCGTACTGCGCACCCCTCTTACGTACAGATCTCGAAGCTCCGTGGCTCTCGCAGGTGTTCATGGCGGACTCCAGCGACACGGGCTACGGAGTGGCGGTCACCGACGCCTCGCTGGAGGAGATCAGGAAGGACGCCCGTTACAGCGAGATGAGGGGATGGACGATCGCCACCGAGGATATCTACACAGCCCAGGAGGAGGACGCCTGGGTCCCCCATGCTGGGGGGTGTGCCTACGATGTCGACGAGCTTATCGAGGCCTCGACTGCACCGCCGCCGCGGGTAAGTCGGAGGGTCTACCGGGTGCTGCACCTCTTCGCGGGCAGGCGCCGGGAGGGGGATCTAGAGGAGGCCATCCACTCGCGGGCGGAGCTCGACGGCTACGAGGTCGAGGTCTGGTCCATCGACGCGGTGATCAACCCGAAGCACGACCTCACCAACGACGAGTTCGTCAGCCTGATCCTGAGCCTGGCGCGCGACGGGTACTTCCACGCAGTGATCGCCTCGCCCCCATGCTCCACTTGGAGTCGGGCTCGCTTCCTGGGGAAGGGGCCCAGGCCCTTGCGGACGCGCCTCGAGCCTTGGGGGCGGAGCGACATGTCATTCACAGCCTTCGAGCGCCTCCGCCTGGACCTGGGGTCGCGCCTTTTGCTGTCGGCCATGCAGGCGGTCCGCGAGGTATGTCGAGCTGGAGGCCTGGGCTTGATGGAGCACCCTGCGGACCCAGAGGAGGACCCATACCCGTCAATCTGGAACCTACCCGAGATGGCATGCCTCCTCGAGGAGACGGGCGGGAAGATCAATCGGATCGACCAGTGCCGCTACGGAGCCCCATCGATGAAGCCGACCATGATTGGCATCTTCGGGTTCTACGACGACACACTGGACTTCGCCGCGGACCGTCTCCGCTTGAGGTGCAACCACCGAGGGAGGCATCAGACAGTACTCAAGGGGCGGGCGGAGCGAGGCCGTCCCGATTTCTGCACCGCCTCCGCCCAGGCGTACCAGCCGCCGCTGTGCGCCGCGCTGGCGGAGGTGATCATCGAGGCTTTCGCCCGCACGGCGAGGGAGATGAGTGGCCCCGATCCAACGGGCTCGCGCGTGTCTCCATCTACTTCGCCCTTCGGCCCGCCGAGGCCGGGGAGGGCGAGGATCGAGGTGAGGCGGGGCGATCGAGTCAGAGTCCCCCCGCTGTCCCCCGCTTGGATGCCGATCGCGAGATGGCGGCCGCTCTACTTCGGGAGGTGGAGCATCACGGAGCACACGAACATCAACGAGACGCTTGCCGTGGTGGGCCTGCTGCGACACCTGGCCAGATCATCACGGATGTGGAGGCGGAAGGTTCTGATCCTTACAGACAGTATGGTAGCTCTGGGGGCCCTGGGCAAGAGCCGCTCGAGCTCGCCAGCCCTGCTGCGCTTGTGCCGCCAGGCGGCGGCGATCACCATGAGCTTCGCGATTCAAGGGTACTACCGCTACGTCCCGTCGGAGCTGAACGTCGCCGACGGCCTCTCTCGGGGGGGCTTCCTCGGCGCGGCGCCCGAGACGGTAGCAGCTCACAGCGACCGACACCCCGCTCTAACGGACAGCCGAGGTCACGATCTACGCGACCTGGGCCGCGCCTGTACGGGATGCGCTGGTGGGTAGCCGCCGTGGCATTGGAGGCAGTCCACCCTGCTGGTGCGGTTCGCCCGAAGCCACCCAGGGCGGGAGACATCCCCCTGCAGAAGCGAGGGCCACGTGCGTGGGAGAACTACGAGAAGGAGCCGCACCTGGGCATCAGCGAGGGCGGCTTCACAAGGCTGCTCACCCACTCCGTGGCGGACGTCACCGCGGCGCAGTGGGCCCCGAAGGTTCGAGACTTTCTCAGCCACTGTGTCGACAAGGGTTGGGAGCTGCGGTCCGCGAACGCCGCGGGCCACGCCCTGGCCGACTACATGGACATGAAGTGCTACAAGGACCGGCTCCGTCCTACATGGGGGTCGATTGTCTTGTTTGGGCTGCTGGTGATTTGGCCTGAGCTGAGGAACCAGCTTCCCCTGGCCTTGCGAAGCCTGAAGAGCTGGCAGAGGCTGGTTATCTCTGTGGAAGGGGGTCCTCTGCCTGAGGAAACCGTCTTCGCCATCGCCATCTACTTCTTCGAGGCGGGGCTCCTGGATGAAGCCATCTGGACCCTGGTGCAGTACGACGTCTACGGGCGGGAGCAGGACATGGAGATGCTACGCGAGGCCGATGTCATCTGGGATGGCCGATGCGCGGGCCTCCTGTTTGGCATCTCGGCCCGAGGCGAGGAGGGCAAGACGGGCAGCAACCAAGGGGTCGTCATCCGCCGCGACACGGTCGCGAGCCTCATCCTGGCCCTGAAGGACGTCAAGAAGAATGTCGCGGGGCCCATCTTCGGCCCCAAGCAGGCAGGCTTCCGCAAAGAGTGGCACCGCGCATGTCGCTCGCTGGGGATGCCATGGGCGCCGCCTCCGCACGGGCTCCGCCACTCGGGGCCCAGCGAGGACGTGGCCCGAGGACGGGCCAGCCTGGAGCAGGTGCGGAGGCGGGGCAGGTGGAAGGCATTGTCCAGCGTCCAACGCTACTCTAAGACGTTCGCCCTCACGCAGTTCCGTGCAAAAATGCCGAAGAAGGTGCTGGACGTGGGATCCCGTGCGACCTCCGACCTGGCCGCCGAGATACTCCGTGCGATGGAGTCCCGCACCAACTACAGCAAGCAACAGCAGCAGCTGGTCGACGGCATCAGGACGAATCTGAAGACGAAGAAGGTGAAAGATGTCGCCGCAGAGCTCCTGATGCTGGGACTCACCACCAACAAGAGGTCCACCACCAACAAGAGGTCCACCACCAACAAGAGGTCCACCAAGGGTGACACAAGCTGCCCAGAGTCCGACGACCTCTACTCCGACGAGACGTGGGGAGAGGGCAGTGGATGGTGGACAGAGTGAGGCGACAGGCCAGATGGGGGCGCCCCATGGGGGCGGCTAGGGGCGCCATACGAGGGCCCCCTAGAGGTGGTGGCCTACGGGCGCGACCACCACCCCACGGTGAGCTTGGTCGGTCGCATGAGTTTCGTCGTTGTGGCCCCCGCCCGCCCGCCCTGGCCACAACATGTAGTTTTTGTCGGCTACGCCAGGCACATCAAATGCGGGAGTGGGACTGAGAATCTTCTGATGCCGATCGCAACTCGAGTTTTTGTTGGTTGTGATTTGGTTGAGGTTATATGGATCTCTATCGGCCTCCCGATGAATGATTATATATATATATATATATATATATATCTTTGGCCCGTCTGGGCCCTCGTGCAGTGTGTGGTTGAAACAGTACCTCCTCATAGGCCGCTTCGCGGCGTTGCTGCACGTCCCGCTGTCAGAGACTGTGTATCCTGTCAGCTTCGCTGGCCCCCCGCCTGCCCCCTGAGACGTAGCGATAATGATCGTTTTCCAAACGTAATTGATCGCGTCTCGGGGTGGTGTGGTGGGGTGGGCCGTGTAAGATAGTAGTGCAGGTTATATCCCCCGTCTTGCCCTGCCTGTCTTTCGTGTCCGCTCAAGCTTCCCTCCCTATTTGCACGCTTTGCCCGGCCCTGCTCTCACGACACGTGGGACTGAGAATCTTCTGATGCCGATCGCAACTCGAGTTTTTGTTGGTTGTGATTTGGTTGAGGTTATATGGATCTCAATCGGCCTCCCGATGAATGATTATATATATCTTTGGCCCGTCTGGGCCCTCGTGCAGTGTGTGGTTGAAACAATACCTCCTCATAGGCCGCTTCGCGGCGTTGCTGCACGTCCCGCTGTCAGAGACTGTGTATCCTGTCAGCTTCGCTGGCCCCCCGCCTGCCCCCTGAGACGTAGCGATAATCTTCCCTTTTCCTTCCTTCTCTTCCCTACCCTCCCTCCTTCCATTCTTCTCCCTCTGCCTCGCTCCTCCCTTCTCCGTCCATCTCCCCCTCCTCTCCCCCCTCCTACCTGCGCTCTCTCTCCCTCTCTCCTCCTCACTTCGTCCCTGATCCATAGCGAAATTGTCTCCTGGCTGGCTTTACCATCGCCCTCGCTCGCGATGGCCGATGATCTCTGCCGGTCCAGCGAGCCCGACGTTCACGAATCACGCCGCCCCCAGCATGGGCCCAGACCACGAGCCCCTGACCCATGCCTCGTACTCGGGCTTTCCGCCGTGCTTCTCCTTCTGCTTCTTCTCGAGCCCGACGGCAGCCTCGCCCGCGAGCACGCCCATGATGCCCACCCACCCCAAGGCAGAGGCGGCAACCCAGGGATTCGTCAGCAGGGCGCGCACGGAGCCACCAGCGAGCAGCGCGGCCACGAAACTGGCGGTCCATCCGAAGCACTCTCCCGTGTAGTTCGGGTGGCGCAGGAACTTGTACAGCCCGCCGGTGACGAGGTGGTCCTTGCCCTTGACGGACTTGGTGGCGAACTTCTGCAGGTCGCCGAGCGCAGCGACCGCGAAGCCGACGAAGGAGCACGCCACGGCCACGCCGACGGCCCGGGAGCCTGGCGCTGCTGCGGCCGTCACGCGCAGCGGGGCCGCGAGGAGGAAGTATAGAAGGCTGCAGGCGATGATTACTGGCAGGCGCTTAAGCCTCTGCCCCAGCGTCGCCTCCCTGCTCTGCATCTGCAGAAGAAGAAACAAAGACATGAACGCAAGCTTACGGAGGTCCGCGCAAAGATCTTGGTTCGGCGCTGGGCCCCCCTTGTCTGGCACGTTCCGCGCGCCACGGAGCCGGGTCCAGTGCCGATCTAAGAAATCTACGCGGGCCTCCGCCACATCTACAGTGGAGGCCAGTCCACGAGAAACCTTCCACAAGAAACCCAACCCTGAGACCCGAGGACGTCCATTGTTTCTTGGTGTGGGCACGTCACGCGTTCCATAGCAAAGCCATCAACAAGCAAGACACCCAGGGCACCCTGGAGGCAAGCAGGGCGCTTCTTGGCATGGGTCTCCGCTGTATGCTCATGCTGCCTTCCTTCTTCGGATCTGGTGTACGTCCGCAGGCAGGGTCAGCTCCCGGCACAGGAGGAACAAGTTCAGCCGCGTGCCGTAGAACAGCAGAGCCGCCGCGTGCCACCACGCGAGGCCGCGCAAGGCCGGGAGGCTGAGCGCAGCGCAGGCCGCGACGGCGCCGCCGTAGCCGTAGGACACAGCGTACCCCGTCTTTGGTGGGCCTGCTTCCACCGCCGCCGTCATAAGTAGGAGGGGGAGGGGGTCCTCCTCCTCCTCCTCCTCCTCCTCCTCCTCCTCCTCCTCCTCCTCCTCCTCCTCATCCTCCACCTCCTTCCTCCCTCCAACTTGTGGCGGTGGTGGTGGGAGACAGGTCCATCAGTCTTCCAGATGCCGAGCAGCGTCGGGAGCAAGCTGGCGGCCGCCAGGGTCTTGACGCAGGGAAGGGCGGCGGCAGCAGCGGCTGCCGCGGCAATGCCGCCGCGTGTGCCGAAGGGCGTGTTCATGGAGACAGGCGGGCGCCGGGGCTGTCTGCCCAGCCTGTGGGCCCTCGGGGCTGCTATATGGCGACTTGAAGGGGCACTCCACAGTCGTGCATCACTGACGATGGCGACATGCAGTGCGAGCACCACTGCCACAGCGCGATGGATGCCGCGAGGCATTGCGCCAGCGCCCCCTGAGCCCAACAAGCCCGATCCAAGCTTGAGCAACATGTCAATCGGATATCCTGGGCCTGCTGCGTCTCCCTGACTTTTTGATCGGGAGTCTGCCGCACCGCAGGGCCTTCGAACGTCGCTTGGGTGTGCAAGTGCTGGCAGTGTAGCGAATGTCTCAAGAGTTCTCGCTCCGCGCAGGGCACTGGTCGATTAGGCTTAGCCTGGACCCGAAACAAGTGCGCGTCCTCGGCCATCCGTGCATTGTGTCACGTTCTAGCGATGATATTTCTGCGCATGTGTCAACATAGCTTTGCTCTACACGTCTGGAAGACAAGTTTGGGGCCCAAGTGACCCGTGTCAAGCTAGTCCTGTCTCGCCTGCCTGTGCAACACGTGGAAAGTCGTGGCCATCCACAAGCTCGCAGACAGGAGGTTCTGTCCCAGGCTCCCCAGATGTCTCCACCCACAAAGAACTGGGGTCAGGGTCAACCTGGAAGGAATTGGCCCTCTTTGAGGGGTTTACGGCAGTGGATGTCAGGACAAATCTCTCTAGAATGAGTATCGTTTCACCGATCCCCATCCCCATCAGCGTGGGCTGGGCCCCTTTGGCTGATTTACCGCCCTAGATGGGGATCTAGGCCGTATTCTTCGGGTTTCGAGGCGTGTCTCCCCGACTGGCGGTGTCATGTGGTGGGGCCCTCGCATGGGATGATCATGGGGATGGGGCTCGGCCGAACGATACTGAAAGAGGGTTTCAATCCCTGTGTTGTGCCATTGGAGGATGGACCACCCCCCCTGCTCCGCCTCCCCGGCGCGCGGAGCGCGCGCCGTGGGGCGCGCGCCCGAGGCGCTGCCCGAGGGGGGCCCCCCAGCGCCGACGCAGCCCCACAACTCCGCGCGGGCCTCCGAACGGGTGCGCTCATGCAGACTTGCCTACGGCAGGTTCGCGTCGTGCCGACCCCGGCGTTGGTTTTTGACACCGCAGGGATCGTTCAACCTTGAACGATCGGCCGCTGCCGCAACGTCCGATCGTTCAACATCGATCGATTCTGGGTCGCCGGCGGCGTTCAACCTTGAACGCTCGCGCTGGGGTCGCCGCTGGTCGACACGACGCAAACCTACCGTACTTCGGTCGAGCCAACGACGACGATGGCGACGACCCACATCTGTTCAACCTCCAGCTCGCGGGGTCCAGCCCTGACTGGTCGGGGATCCTCTGACCCGGGTCGATCCGAACCCGGTCAGTCAGGCCTTGCAGCATCCTGCGAGATCCGGCAGCCAAAAACACGGGTCAGCGCGAGGGATCCTGCAAAATCCTGCAGGATCATGCACCCAGGCCCGGGTCAGTGCGACCCTGGCCCTGCAGGATCCTGCAAGATCCGGCGTTCTGGCTGACCCCCGTTTGCATTAAGTCGGGCCTGTCTCCCTACAGAGGGATTTTGAGCGAAGAACAAAAAACAAAAATACCCCCAAATAGTAAAAAGAAAAAACGCAAAAAATAGTCACCATATTATTTTTTGATTATTTTTTGCCTATTTTGGGGCTCAAGGCCCCCGATCTCGCGGGGTCCACCCCTGCCCGGTTTGTCGAGGCGCGTCTGGCCGTGGGGGCGGGAGGCCGCCCGTGGGGAGCGGAGGGGAGGGGGGGGGGAAGGCGCCGCGGCCTCCACCGGGCCCTCCCCCCGTAGCGTTAGGTCGGGCCTGCCCCCCTACAGGCCGATTGCAGACGACAATGAAGAAAAAAACAAAAACAAATACTCCCAGATGGTCAGAAATAGTAAAACAAAAATCGTCCCCTGACTATGTTTTGACTCTTTTTGACCATTCCTCCTGTACACGTCGGTCGGAAGAAGTAGGTGAAAGCATGAAGTAGGAAGGCGGATGAAGTGGATTGGGTCGAGGCCCTCCCAGAGAACAACCAAACACATCGGCGCCGTGCCGATCCTTGAAATAGGAAGGCGCGTGAAGTAGATAGGGATCTGGGAATCCAAAAATACCTACTTTCAACGACCGGCGTGTACAGGGGCAGGCCCGACTCAACCCCAACGGTCGAGGCGCCACTCCTCGGCCGGGAGGAGGCGGCGGCTGTCGCCATCTCCGGGGACCGCGCCTCGGCCTCTCGCCCAACCCTGGCCTCGTGGTTGCGCCCCTCGTACGGCAGGTTCGCGTCGTGCCGACCCCGGCGTTGGTTTCTGACACCGCAGGGATCGTTCAACCTTGAACGATCGGCCGCTGCCGCAACGTCCGATCGTTCAACATCGATCGATTCTGGGTCGCTGGCGGCGTTCAACCTTGAACGTCGGCGGCGGGGTCGCCGCTGGTCGACACGACGCGAACCTACCGCACTCGAGAGCCGCATCCCAGAAATCATGCCGAGCACCCGGAAAAAAAGCGTCGAAGGGTGTCGAAAGCGTGTCGAAACTCGGGGGAAAACAAACCTGCCTCGCTTCCAAGAGAGATACCAAACGATGCCAAATTGCGGCCTGTACTGGTCAGGCCGCTTGACGAGGAGGCGCGTGGTATGGCTTGGTTTTGCCTGGAAGCGAAAGCGGGGGAGGTAATTCACGCTCTGAGAAACAGTGTCTCCCAGGGCCCGACGCGCGAAAACTCTCGAGTCTCGGTACTTTTGTTTCTGGTGCTCGACCTTCTTTCTGGCCCCGCTCAGCCCTCCTTCTGCACGGTGCTCGTTTTGGGGAGATCCGACGACGACGACGGCGCGTGCCTGAGAGTCCGCCGCCGCCGAGGCTCATCGTCGTGCTGCTGGGCACGGCGGTGCCAGGGCCGCTCTCCCTCAGGAGCAGGAAGATCGGGCCCTCTGGCGGCCGCGGCGCGCTGGCAGGAGGAGGAGGAGGAGGAGGAGGAGGAGGAGGAGGAGGAGGAGAAGGAGGAGGAGGAGGAGATGGAGATGGAGGAGGAGGAGGAGGAGGAGGAGGAGGAGGAGGAGGAGGAGGAGGAGGAGGAGGAGGGGAGGAGCTGGGAGGGATCGGCCAACATCGGATCGCCAAGCCGGAGCGGGTCGGCACGTGCATCGGATCGGACGCTGTCTGGAGCAACAGCAAACTCGCACATGCATGATCTTCGCGGGCCCGTGCGGACTTCATGCGGGGGGGCGACAGGGGTGGATCGGCTTGGGGGTGGAAACAATGAGAGCTGGAATCGGTGATACATCGCCGAAGGATCGGCGTTAGGCCCTCGATAGCGAAACCACTCGTTCCTATGGCTCATTGGCGATCAATCTGCGATTGGGAGTCGATGCTTTCCCGTCTGGGCCAGTCCTCCCCTGTCGTTGCCCCAGACCTCCCCACACCTCTGGGCGGCGCCGCATCGGCACGGGGTCGGGATCGAATTTGGATGGCGGCGCCAAGATGCACAAGAGCGGCGCGCAAGTGCTGGGCCGCATCGGGTGGGTCGCCACAGAAGCGAAGGTCGATCGGGTCGAGCCAACCGAGGTCGACATACATTCAGACCGATCGACTCGAGATACAATCGGACCTAGGACAGAATAACATCCTTCAACAGGGGAACCTCAGCCGGCCAAAGCACACAGAACGTCCAAGGGTACCCAGGCTGCACAAGAGCTTCAAACGAACCCGAATGACATCAGGGTGCCCTCCCCAAACCGACCTCGATCTTATACCTCGGTCCGGCCTTAGACCTTAGACAGTACAGGGTGGACAGGCAACTTCGATGCAAGAAGACTTCGGTAACAAACTAAACCTCCACCAGAGGCCCATGCCCTGAAACAGATGGATTTCGATTACATTCAACTTTGATGACCCTGGGGTTATCACTGTACGCTCTGGTGGGCCAAGCAAGCGCAGGGTCTTATGAAACACGTGCAAGCGGTTTCTTGATGCACCTTTCCGATGTAGCGAGGATGCAATGTAAGGGTGCGGGACCCTTGAACGTCCATGCAGCTGCAGATATACATACATTATGAGCTGGCAACCAAAACTGCCGAAGGATTGACACAATAAACACTTAGACGAAGGCCCCTCCCGCTTACCCATGTCTTCAAATCAGCTCCCCTCGCTCGCCACCATTTTTGCACTGCCTCGCTCTCAGTATACATACAGCTATGTATCCATTGCCGCGATCTATGTACTGTTTTTTGAGCGCTCCTGGAGAACCAGCGCCGTCAACGACGTGTAGAACTGCAGCTGTGTGGCTGTGTAGTCCTTGGTCAGGAGCCTTCCGAACTCCCCCACCCATCCCTCGGCCCAACCTCGCTCGCGTGCATGGCAAATGGTGAGGAACCAGAGCAGCAGACACGGTATATGAAAGACCATACATTTGCTATCGTGGCCGACGCAACATGTTCATCGGCAACATTGGTAGCAACGAATATGCGACGAAACCAATGTTTACATTACACAACGACCATACTCAACAACTGTGTGCCTGACTGCACCCGCACCGCAAACTTGTACATCCCACATGTATCACCACGAATCACATTGCGGAGTCGGAACTTGATACCGCAGACGTCCCGCCCGAACTAGTTTCCACACCCATTCCTCTTCGCAATCCCTCGTCGCTCCCGATCCGGCACCACGGCTTGTTCTACTGAAGGGTATGCGGTATACTTGCCAGTACAATGCGAAGAGCACGCGGCAATCGCGTGGCTCTGCTTCCCATCTGCGGGTGTCCCAAGCATCGGGTCGGGCGAAAGGGGGGGATAGCAAAGGGGGGGGGTGAGAATCAGCTCACGTAGCTGACTTTCCCGGCGCCTCCCGGCGCCGGAGGCGGCTATGTATCGAGGAATGGGTCTCTCGGTGAGGCCGAAACCAGCCGCATGCAGCAAATTTCGTAACCCCCCCTTTCCCAATCCCCCCCTTTCGTCCGGCCCGAGAGCACGCCGATGCCCTCACGGAGGCGCGGGGGGGGCCGCGCCGTGGAACCTCCCCGACACCCCCGCGGCGCTGGAGCGGGGCACGGGGCGACTTCGGGGCGGAGCTGCCCGAAGAATCGCTGGCAAGCACGGGGGGAGCGGCGCGGGCACCTCTCAGCACCCCAGAACCTCTCGGCACCCTCTGGAGCCCTCAAGGGGCCTCTTCGACCCCAGGCCGACCCCCCCCTCAAGAACTCTCTCCGTCCTCCTCCGCCTCGGTCCCTCCCCGCCCTCGCCCTCGGTCTCCTCCTCCTGCAAGGGACTCCGCCGGAGGGGACAGGGCCAGGATTGGATGCCACTTGCCCGGCTCACACCCACTTGGGCCTACCCCCAGGGCAATCCGCCCACCCCTGCAGTGGCAAGAAGCGGCAGCGAGGCCTCTTGCTGAACACGTTCTGCACACATTCGATCACGTTGGTTGCCACGGCCGCCTCCCATCAATGCCACGCTCGCGTACCACTCTTAACCAACCCCGCTGCATCACCACTTGCCCCCTCCAGTGCCTCTGCCCCTCGGCAATCTTCTCTTGCCTCCCTCCTCTACTTCTGCTGCTTCTCTTCTCAGCCTCCCTCCCCTCCCTCACCTTCCTCCCCTCCCTCTCCCCCCCTCACCCTCCTCGAAACACCTCTCCCTCCCTCCATTCCCATAACTTCCGCTTCCTTATGAATTACGTATCCCTCTGCCTCCCCGCCCCTCCCTCTTGTGCCTCTCCCTCTCTTCCCTCCGCCACGCTCACTCCCTCTCCATCCTCACCTCCCTCACTCCCTCCCTCCCTCCCTCCTTCCCTCTCTCTCTCTCTCTCTCTCTTTTTTTTCTCTCTCTCTCTCTCTCTCTCTCTCTCTCTCTCTCTCTCTCTCTCTCTCTCTCTCTCTCTCCCCCCCCCCCGCCTCCCTCCCCACGCTCTCCCCCAACGCCATCCCTTCCTTTCCCTCCTGCCGCCAGGACGCGAGCCCGCTTCGTCCTCGCCCGTCGCCGCCCCCGAAACCTCCGACGTCGCGCTTCGATTCTCACGCTGTGGCGCCCTGGAGGACTGGACCTCTCCTCCTCCTCCTCCTCCTCCTCCTCCTTCTCCTCCTCCTCCTCCTCCTCCTCCTCCTCCTCCTCCTCCTCCCGAACCGCTGCTTCTCACGTCCCCCTGGGCTCGGGGAGGACCCCTGGAGGCGGCAATCGGGCAAAGGCGATAGTGGGGGACTGGCTCAGGGCGGAAGGGGGGGGGCAACTGCTGACCTAGAAGATACCTCGCCGATGTATCGGCGACAGGCCCGCGATGGCGAAGCCGCGCGTTCCTGGGCAGGGTGGGCTGCCGGGGCCCTATTGGCGATGAATGGGCGGTCGAACGTCGATGCCGCCCCCCCTGTAAAGCAACACGAAACGGCGTACAGTCGAGGCGTTGACCTAAGGAACCCTAAATAAGGACCGAGGCCCCTATTTTCCATACGTTGAACTTCGATGTCGTATCGAAAACCTAAGGAAAATCCAAGGCAAGCTGCGAAACAATTAAGGAACACGGAGCCCCTCCCCAACGAAAAGGGTTTCTTCTTCAGGGCCCCGACTGTACGCATAGACGTCTGTCGGTCCGCGCGAGAGGCGCCCCCACGGGGGGCACCACCGCCGATCCGAGCATGGGCCACTTGCCGCTGTTTTAACGCTGGAGGGGCGAACGTGCTCAAGAAACTGGGCCAGCTTTCTGGCAAACTGGTGAAGGAGCGCTGGCCCAGCGCTTCGGGAAGAGGTTTCAGACCCAAATGCTCGACTGCAAATCGGGAACCCTTGGGATCCCGCGAATTTGAAGGTTGCATCCGGCGCCACGGCCTCCTCAGGGCGGTCTGGAACGCTCTGGACGACGGCGGACCAAATTCTGTTATACCGCTGTTCGCTCGCTGAAACTAGCAGGCGAGCGCCTGGGCAGCCGCGCTGTCGCCCGCCCGCCCCCCAGGGAGGCCGCCCGTAGAGCAACAAACAAATAGCATAAACAGAAACTTTTGTCGGGGATGGACAGAACCCCCTTTAGTAAAACGTGGTTTAGTGAAAACGACCTGAGGCCCAAACCTGGCGGGCGCAAGCCTGGAAAATAACGGCCGCGGCGCCATCTCGAGAACCGAAAACGGACAATTCACTAATCGACGTGTCACTGTTGGGGGTTCTGTCCGCCCCCGATTTTGGCGCAATGCGCGGGTTTCTTGGATCCTCGCCAGGGGCGGCGCCGGAGGCGAGCAGCTCCAAGAAATCTGCGCGGAGCGCCAAAAGTTTATGTCCAGCGCCGGAGGCGAGCAGCTTCAAGAAATCTGCGCGGAGCGCCAAAAGTTTATGTCCGGCGCCGGAGGCGAGCAGCTCCAAGAAATCCGCGCGGAGCGCCAAAAGTTTATGTCTACGCTGTTTTTTCTTCTTCTTCGACCCCAGGGCTGCGAGGCGGGGGTTCATGCACATCCACCGCCTGGGAACGGACGTCCTGGTGCCCCAGCGGGCGGCGGATGTGGATCCGCTTCGGCCCCCGGGGGCCCGAATCTGTCCACATCCACCGCCTGCCGAGGCTTCGAAAACTGACCCTCCCAGCGGTGGTCATGTACGAAGGGGCCCTGGGACACACAAATCAATACACACAGATAACAGGATTCCCCATATTTTCTTATATTTTCTGGGTTTTTGTCTTCCCTCCCAGTACAACTTGGCGGCGCGCAGAGCGGGGTAGGGGGAGGGGGGAAGGCTTCTTAGAAGCACCCCTGCTTCTCAGAAGGTGCGGGCCTTCTCTGTAGATGCAAGGCCGGCGCCTTCGAAGAAGCAGCCTCCTTCTAAGAAGCCTTCCCCCCTCCCCCTTATACCCCTTCCCCCTATACCCCAATCCACCGCCTGCCGAGGCTTCGAAAACTAACCCTCCCGGCGGTGGTCATGTTCGAGTAGGGGATCGACTACAGAATTGATCTACCCCCAAATTGATTCCCCATCGAATCTACAACGAAAGCCTCGAACGTCCGCAATATCTACTGGGACTTCTGAAAATATTTGCCTCAGAGTCGACGAGAAAGCCAACTTTGGGGTAAATCAATTCTGTATTGGACGCCCGAATTATCCGGGATAACTCGGGTCCGGGGTAACTCGGGTTTGGGTTCCCGAAAAACGGACCCGAGTTAGCCCTGACCCGAGTTACCCCTGATGATTCGGGGCTCTGGACGCCCGAAATATCCGGGGTAACTCGGGTCCAGGATAACTCGGGTTCGGATTCCCGAAAAACGAACCCGAGATAGCCCTGACCCGAGCTACCCCTGATGATTCGGGGCTCTGACTGTAGTCGATCCCCTACTCGAGTCATGTACAACTGCCCGCCTCGGAAGGGGGGGGGCCGCCCGGGCGGGCCGCCGCCGAGCGCCGCGCGGGCGCCGCGCGGGACGGCCCGCCGCGCTCGACGTGCGGCGGCCGCCGCGCGGCCCCGCGGCCCGCGCGGCCCCGGGGAGGCGCTCCGCGCCGAGGCGCTCCGCCGCGCGGCCTCGGGCGCCGAGGCGCCCCCCCCGCGGCGCGCGGGCGGGCGCCCCCCCCCCGCGCGGGTCGGGCCGGCCCAGCGGCGGCCTGCCGCCTGCGGGGCGGAGGCGCTCCTCTCCGAGGCCGCCGTCGGGGCCCGCTGCTCGGGCGAGCGCCCGCGGGCGAGCGCCCTCGGGCGGCCCCTCGGGGGCGCGCGCGGTCGACGCTGGGCCCCGACTGCGCGGGTCGGGAGCTCCGGGGTCGTCGTCGGGGCCTCCTTCTCTCGGGCGAGCGCCCGCGGGCGAGCGGCCGCGGGCGGCCCCCTCGGGGGCGTGCGCGGTCAACGCTGGGCCCCGAGGGGGCGGGTCGGGAGCAGCTCTCGCCTTCTTCGTCCCGGAAGCCCGGCGGGACTGAGGATCGCACGCTGCCCTCCTGCTCTTCGCGATCCTGCCGGCGTGTGGCGAGGGCTCCAGCGAAGCTCGCCCCTGTCAAGCCCTACCCCGGCCCCTGACAGTCTGGGCAAACAGTCGCGCCAACGCGAGCATGGGGTTCTGTCGCTAGCATTGCGGGTTCGGGGTTTTCCCCCTCCCTGGTTGGGCCGAGCGGGCCTTGATCTCATCCACAGAGGGCGGCGCAGAACAATGTCGCGTCGCTCCCCGCGGCGTCTCCCGCTGCATTGAGGGTTTGGTGTTTTCTCCTTTTCTGGCTGGGCCGGAGGGGGAGCCCCTTGCAATGAATCTGCCGCGAAAGTTTCAATCTCGGGGGCGGCCAAGAGGGGGGCGTCCAAGAGGAGGGGGGGGCGCAAATCATGGCCGGTGGCATGTGCGCGGCCCAGGGGGGGGGGGGGGGGCGGGGACGCACTGCAACAAGAAGAGGCGCCATGAAATCTGGGGAGAAATAGTGGCCCCCGCCATGATACCCCCCCGCCCAGTCATCACCCCCCTCTGTGCCGCCCCCGACAATCGGGCCACTCGACGATGAAAGGGTGCGCGTGCAGCAGAGGAGCACCGCAGGAGCACGAGGGCCCCCTCGCCGAAGGCCCGAGGCACCCCGCGGAGATTCCCAGCGCGAAGCAGGCACTTCAGGGTGGCACGCCCGAGCACGAAGACCTGCAGGGACCTCCTCCCAAACCGGGGTTGGCGGGCTTGTTTCCCACCGCCACCACCATCAGCAGGAGGGGGAGGGGGTCCTCCTCCTCCTCCTCCTCCTCCTCCTCCTCCTCCTCCTCCTCTCAAAATCCACCGTTTCAGGTTCCAGAATCACCTGGAACCGTTCCGGGGTGATTCTGGAAGCTTGACACTGACCGTTTCAAGTTCCAGAAGCACCCTGGAACCATTCCGGGGTGAAAACCCATCTGAAGCCATTTTGAGCTCCTCCCAGAAGGCCTCCCTGAGCTCCTTACAGAAGGCCTTATTGGGCTCCTTACAGAAAGCCTTATTGGGCTCCTTACAGAAGGCGTTATTGCGCTTCTTACAGAAGGCCTTACTGGGCTGCTTACAGAAGGCCTTATTACGCTTCTTACAGAAGGCCTTATTGGGCTCCTTACAGAAGGCGCTATTGTGCTCCTTACAGAAGGCCTGATTGGGCTCCTTACGCTTTCGTGGGCTCCTTACAGAAGGCCTTATGGAGCTCCTTGCAGCCGCGAGAAAAAAAGGCTACCAAATGAGAAATTTCATTTGTGAAATAATCATTTGGGGGGCTCGGGTGCACTGAGTTCCAACTGCATTTTCACCCTGGAACGGTTCCGGGGTGAATATTTAACTGGGACCTCCCGACGCTGAGCGGGAGGGCCCAGCCGCGAAAAACAAGCTCCCCACTCAGAGATTTCACTTGGAAAATGACCATTTGGGAGGATCGGGTGCGCCCCCGTCCCCGAGAGAGCCGTTTTGCGTTGGGGCGGGGATCCATCATCACCGTGGAACGGTTCCGGAGTGAAAATCAATTTGGGACCTCCCGACGCTGAGCGGGAGGGCTCGGC